TATGGAGATATTTACAATTGTATAAATATGTAAACCACAGGATATTAAGGCCATTATGGATAGAGAAACAAAATTATTACATTTCTGCAAAAAACTGAATAGAAAAAAACAAGGAAATTTCTGATCTTGACAGGTTGAAAATTGATAGACAAACTAGGAAATTTTGAGATCAATCTTAGAAATATTCTAGAGTATACAAGGACATTTTTGAGCTTGGAAAGTTCAAAATTTGCTAGAAAAAGAAAGAAATTTTGAGATTAATATAGGACATTTTTGAGGGAAAATTTGTTTCAATAGTCTAAGACTTTTGAGTTTGAAAAGTGAAAAAATGTTAAGTATTTTCTAGAAAATGTCTAAATTAAACTAAAAATTTCAGTTTTCTTTCTGTAAAATTTTTGACTTCGAGATTTTTTGGCATTTTTATATTTACAATGGCCGTAACATATCATTATATAGAGAATTCTGACTTTTTATTCGGATTTCTGAGATCCAAAGTCAGAATTTTTCCTTTTTTTGTGGTCCTAATCCTCTTCCATAATTTTTCAACATTGCAATGTGGTGAGAGGTTTCTTATTCCCAGATCTTGAATGCAACATGAATTGGGAAAAGTAACTTTGTCATAAATCTGACGTAGAGATTTGTAATCCATGAAAAGTATCTGAGGTTCAGCCTTGTGTTGAAGTGCATGTGCCTTAAAGTGCACAAGGTGCTGTCTGCAAAACTGGTTCAAATTCAAATTATTCAGATTTCTCAAAAAAATATTCATCTATCTTATTATTTTTCTACCCGTTTTGCTCTGACCCACTCAACTGGAAAAATATATGTAGTGCTTATATGTATATACTGTTATTTATTAGATTATCCCTTTCCCTCCTCTGATTTAAACCTACTTTCATGATAATGTAGTTTTACGTCACCAAAGATGCTTGTGTTAATTGAAAGTATTCCTCCCCTGCTCTCAAAAACATCTTTTCTGAAAGATAAGAAAACCAAACCCAATATTTGCCCCTGGCAGCTCATAGATAAATGAATTAACTGTGTGGTTAACTTGTTCTAAAGTCTTTAATTCAGTCACAATGCCCCAAGTTTAACATGAATGTTATTTTTTTTAATATAAAACCAGCCTAATTGCTAAACCTTGCTATTATCTTTTGCAGCTAATTTAACCTCAATGTGTCAAATTCACTAAGATTTTTCAGACTTATTCACTCAGACCTTAAAATTAAAGTCGTAGTGAAATAAAAGTAAAGCCTCTTTTAATCTGCGTGTTTCAGGACATGATAAACGGGTTATAAACTTGCTTGAATCTAACCTCATTCTTACAAAATACCAGGTATTTTTGTCTTTACATTCACTGCAAATGCTTTAGTACAATTGAAGTAAGAAAAAAATTACTTGGAAGTAACTTTTTAGCAGGATAACAAGATTATTTTAAGTATATAAATCCTTAATGTTGATGAGAAAGTTCTAGTTTCCCTGGCAGATTATTTCATTCACAGGAAGCCATTTTCCCTGCAAAGGGAAAATAGTATTTTTTATTTCATTTGGTCAATATTAAGGAATTATTTACTCAAAACAAGCTCCCATATCTTGCTCAAAAGTTACTTTTATTTAGCTTTGCCTTATTTCAAGTGTACTAATTCATCCCAAACAATATTAAAAATTCTAAAAATACTTTATTAGAATCTGTATTTTCACAGTGTAGATATTTATATTTCTTTCCCCAAAAAGTCACGTAACAGTTGTGGATCTAAATGATTTTTATCTCACTGGACTAGGAGTGAAAATTGCTCTTTGGATTGTAAATTTTGCAGACATTTTGGGATTAATTCACTTTTGCAAAGATGGGCAACTTTAATATGAAAAAAAATCCCCTTTTTTAAAATAAACATCCTAGTTTTAGAGTGATTAATTACTTCTATTGTTTTGATTGTGCCTTTATATTTTTTCAGAAATTGATGTCCAGGAACAACAACAACTTCAGAAAATTGCCCAAACTTGCTGATATTCAGTTAATTTTCTCTGGTAAATCTTTAAGGCCAAAACGCCACGATGGAAAACTTTACCATGTAGATGCTAATAAAATAACACCTGAGGTTAGAGTTAAATAATTTTAGAGCCTGTTATTTGTCAGATAAAACCAGTGAGCTAAAGGAGGGTGTACTTTCTTTTTCCAGGACCTTACCTCAGCGGGGAGTTGTTTGTACATACTGTTGTATTACTGTGATGATGACCAATGCACGCTACGCTGTAAGATGTTGGTAGGACTCTAAAGTGCTGTTTTTTGTGTGTCTGCAACGTCTGTCTGTTGATTTTCTATACTTTACTTACTCTGTTAAGGATCCTACTGAACTCTTTATTACACTGCAATAACATATATTCTTACCAAGTAATTTTACTCTAGTTCATAGTCCTAGTTTCAAAAGTTTAACATTTCTACCGTAATAAAATTAAGACAATTATGGAGCTAAACTGGGGCCATAAAGTTTGTTCACAAGTCAAAAATATGAAACTGAAAAAAAAAATGTTAAACTCTTTTTCGGATTCAAAGGTTTTTTTTCCCCCCCATTTCATTTATATATATATATACATATATATATATATATATATAAATGGCCCCAATTTAACTCCATAGATAATCATTCTTTAATACTGATGAAAAAGTACTTGTTCCACTGGCAGATTAATTTACTTTTAACACGACATTTTTCCCATCTTATAAGTGAAATAATCTGCCAAAGAAGCTGGTTCTTTTTCAATTTTAATAAATTATTTACTTAAAACAAGCTCATATTTCTTGATTAACTTAATTTTAAGTAAGCTTTGTCTTATTTCAAGTGACTTGAGATATTTGCAGTAAAATCTAGACCAAAATTATTTGGTAAGATTTTGTGTTTTTGAAGTGTATCTACTTGTTTGCAGTTTGTTTGTGGTTTTCGGCTCCTGTGGTTCCATCTTAACTCTGCCTTTAATTTAATTGGAAACATCACAATAAACAAGATAGAAACCTGTTTTGTTTAACTTTCAGGCGATTTATAGGAAAATATAACGTTTTAGCATTATTTTCAGACTCGGTAGCAGAAGAACTCCGTTATTTTCCATAAGTTAGATCCGCCTTTAAGACACTAAAGTTTCACTAAAAGCCTGTGGAATAAATATTTTTTTGATTAAATTACAGTTTTTACTCCAGTGTTGTTTTTCACTAACTGAACGAAACTGGGAACCACTTTATCATCCTTATGTGATGCATTTAGTTTGGAAATTATTTATAGTCCTTTTGTAATACCAGTTTGGATTTCATGTAAAGCTAATCATTGTGAAAATGCTTGTTTTTCTTTTCTTTTTTTTTGTACGTATGTATCATGATTGACGTTTAATGTAACTAGAATCATATGAAAGGTTGTATTTTCATCAGAACTTTGACCTTTGATGTGAAGCCACTTAGTTTTCTCTCTCTCGAGTTGGACTTGATAGTTCTTAATAAACATTTTATTTTAAAAAAAATTCTTAATTTTATGAAAATATTTTAGTAATTTCCATTTTTTAAGCTCCATCACAACACATCAATCAGGTTAGGATTGTGGTTTTTACTGGGTCATTTCAACAGTTTCAACATTTGATTATCAGCAGCTGCAAGCAGCAAAGGTGCACTTACTTTTTCCACACATATAGTTAAACCCAAAATGTTTAACTATTTTTTTTCTATTCAATCACAGTTGTTTTCTGATTGTAATTGACAAATACACCTCTCAAAAGATACTAAGACAATATATGTTTTATTTACATTTTAACAACAACAAAAAAAAAAACATGCCAAAATTATTTATACACTTCTCATTAATCAATTATTCTGACTGGGATCCTCAAAAACTTCTGTAATATTTTAAACCAGAAGAAACATACAAATGGAGGAGGTTAGGACAGATCTGTGGGCTTTATGAACAAATTGTGAACAAAATTATTCTTAGATGAGATTTTAGCCGGCCCAGTTGTTCTGTTTTAGGGCGTCTTGTCACTTTAAATCCAAATAAGCTACTGCTGGCCACGCCCCCAAACTCAACGTTTACATTCGAACATGGAAATGGCTGCCAACAGATGCAATTTTACAACCATACATCTTTGAAAAGCAGAAGAAGTCCCTTCTGCACAACCAACAAGAATACAGCAAGTAGTTTCTGGATGGTAAGCCAACAACAAAACACTTGTCTTTCCCAGCAGCCATTTTACAGCGGTAAAACCAGCTAGAATGCGCTGGAACTTAGCTAGGGTTGCTAGGTAACGGCCCGTGGAACGTTACTTTTGGCTCTGTGGAATAATTTTTGGCTCAGCGGTAGTTTTTACATTTGGTCTTCATCTCAGTTAATTAAAAACCGAGATAACATCGAACGGGTCATTGTTTATACATTTATAATTTTATAAACAATAATAATATAAATAAATAATACATATTAATCACCATTCCGTTTTCGGAACAGTTCTACTTTGCGTTGCTTATTTTTGCTAGCGTCTTATTTCGTAACCCAGGTATGCAGCAGATATCTACAACCAAAGGAACAACAAAAAAGTTACACACAAAACCTGTTTAATCATAGAAACGTTGGCTGGGCCAACCTATTTTAAAATATGACAGTGTTACAATAATATTAAAGCCAGGATTGTTAACTGACCACTTCTTTCTCAAGCTGGTTTGCCCTAAAAGCCCATATCTTATGTTGTTGGTGTATTACTGTACAGAATCAAAGATTTCAGCTGTTATTTGCATTACTTGTCAGTTCTTGTATTTAAAACAGTTTTCAGCTGCAGCTTTTAGCCAGAGGATTATTTTTGTTGCTTCCTGCTGCCCTCAGTAGTAAAATAAATCACAAGCATTCTTTGCTCTCAGTTCATATTCAAACATCCTTCAATGGTTTCTTCTGACATTTTGAAACTGATTCAAGTCTGCAGCTGGTGAAAACAAGGTGTAACCAAAAACTGAAGTAGTGCTTCTCTTCATCACTAGGTTTTTTTTTTTTTTATCATGCAGACATCATATAAAACACTTCAAAAATAAAATAAACTCTTCATCCTTCTCAGGTTGAGAAGTTAAATATCTCTCCTGCAGGTGTGTTTGTGATAACCATCTATATTCTGGGTCACAGGTGCGTTGAAGTTGAGAAGCAGAGTTTAATGGTGAAGGGGTTGGAGCTGCCTGCAAGTCAGAGAGAAACGGACGTCTTAAACAACACGCCTCACAGTCAACAACAACAACAAAAAAAAAAACCAAGACGTTTATTTATTTATTCTGACCTCTCTGCCACTTACCAGCTATTCTAAACTGGTGGTGGTTGAGCACGATCAAAGCTTCAACCGCAGCAGTTTTACAGTCAAACTCCAGCAAACCAGAGAGAGTCTTAGAGCTGGCTGTAAAAACAAGAGAAAAAAGTCTGACTGTCACATATTTACAGCATTTTAGAATCAGTACACTGCAAAAACACAAAAATATTACCAATTATTTTTGTCCAGTTTCTAGTGCAAAATATCTTAGTGTACTTGAAATAAGACAAGCAAGGAGCTTGTTTTAAGTCAATAATTCTTTATACTGTTGAAAATGTACAAGTTCAACTGGCAGATTATTTCACTTATAGCAACGTATTTTTCCAATATTATAAGTGAAATGAACTACAACGGCATATTTGGGCCATTGTAGGCACAAAAAAAGCAAGAGTACATTTACACCAAAAAGCTAAGATTAATATCAGAAATGTTCTAGAAAAAACATGGGAATTTCTGAGTTTGAAAAGTCAGAAATATGCCAGAAAAAAATCAAATGTTTAGATTAATCACAGAAATATGCCAGAAAAAATCTTCAAAAATTTCAAAATAAATTGAAAATTTTTGACTTTTGGAACTCAGAATTTTCCACAATTTTCCTAGGAAATTTCTGAGATTAATCACAAAATGTTGGAAGATTTTTTAAAGAAAAATTTCAAATTGTGTGGCTCAGAAAATTCCTTGTTTTTTGGTTGGAATTTATTCTTTTTTTCTACCTACTTTTGCCCTTAACTGTCACCGTCATAATCTGCCAGTAGAGGTAATACATTTTTATAAATATTAGGGAACATCACTTAAAACAAACTCCTTCACCTTGCTGAAAAGTGAGTTTTCTCATTGCAAGTGTGCTGAGATATTTGTAGTAGAAACTAGACCAAAATTACTTGGTAAAATTTTGAGTTTTTGCAGTGCATGAGTGCTTTTAACTCACGTTTGGCATCAAAGACCTTATACTTGGTGAAGGCAGGAGCGTTGTGTTCAGAACAGAACTGAGAGGAGAGATCATGGTTTTTTAGAGAATAAAGGAAATTTTTTACAAATAAAAGCAGCGTTTAATCTGCTTGTTCTCACTTTTAGCAGCTGCTGCTGGTTGAGGGTGGGTGGGGCGTTGTAGAAGTGCAGCACAGCGGTGGGCGGCTGGATGATGTTTCTGTGGCTGTGCGTGCTGCTGAAGCGATTGTTCCTGGTCAGACTGAAGTCCTGGTAGCTGCTGCTGCCGTCGGCCAGTTCAAACACCTGACTGGGAATCACTGCCTGCTGCCTGGACACACTGGGAAGGGACAGACGGATGTCAAAACCAAAAACCAACCACAAGAAAACAGAAATAAACAATCAGAAAAATCTGAAGAATGTGAGATAATATCGCTCTGCGAAAACAAAAAGTGTAGTTGGTCTAGTTTCTTGTGCAAACATCTTAGTGTAAAACTAACACACAGTACAAGTAACTTTTCAGTAAGACATAGGAGCTTGGTTTAAGTTAAATGTTTCTTAATATTGGTGAAAAGCTACTTGTTCCAGATTACTTCACTCATAACAGGGTAAAAACGTTTTGTTAGAAGTGAAATAATCTGCCAATGGATCTAGTACTTTTTCGTCAACATTAAGGAATTATTGACTTAAAAGAAGCTCCGGTATCTTGCTGAAAGGTTACTTGAAAATTAGTTTTGTTTTATTTCAAGTGCACCAAGATATTTAAACAAGAAACTAGACCAATAATACTTAATAATATGTGGTGATAACATTATGTTCTTTCAGGACAGTAATATATTTTTATATGAAAAATTACTCCAAAGTAAATTATGTCAATAATGAATATATTTGCATAAATCAATTGCATTGTTTAAAGCAACCAGGATTTTTTTCTTTTTTTCTTAAATTTTAATCTTTAAAAGTCTATTTAGGTGGAATGGCTGAAATGGATGGTTGACCTTTGACGCCTTATGTGAGGTAGAAATTGTAATTATGAGTATTTTAAAATTCTGAGTGGATCCTGAGTGGGTCTCGTTCTCACCAGACATTTAGTTTCTTCCCGAACACCTTGGTGCCGTTGAGGTGGGTCACAGCGCGATCCACTGCGTACTCATCCGCCATCTCCACCAGCGCCGTTCCAGGAACGCTCTTCATAAACTTCACCTGTGAACACCACCAGTCAGGGCCACATAAAAACACTTTATAAGGCCAAGATGTGAATAAGAACAGATAAAACAAAAATACAGTGTATTTTTATATAAACATGGACGTCTAGGGTTGAAACAGTAATCTTGTTAAAAAGATTCAAAATATTTACAACAAAACAAACAGTTAAAGTTGCAGTATGTCACTTTTATATTTTTATAATTGATTGATTGATTATAATATATATATATTTTTTACATATTTGTTTGTTGTCTACATCATAACAGTAACTGCCTTCTCCCAGTGCTAACTAGAAACAACCAATCAGAGACAGGAGGCGGGTCTTAGTGCTGTCAGTCACCCTCCCCCTTTCTCTGCTGTGCTACAGCTAGCACAGCTTGTCATGAGTGCTAATGCTATTTAGCTTAGCCACCGATGATGTTCCTGTAACAGTAACTAATTTCTCCATCATTAGCACATTTAGCAGCGAGTACATGGTGGATTGACAGCAATAAGCCCCGCCTCCCGACTGATTGATTGATTGATTTTGATTTCTTCAGACAGTAATAGAAGCTCTGGAAGAAAATGGAGGAGATCAATCTTTTCACTTTTTGATAATTTTTTATGACACTGTAACAACATGGTGACAGTTACTGAAATATGCAAAAAAAAAAAAAA